ATTTCGATCCGGCAATTTTGATGTCGAAGATGCACCACGTTCGGGAAGGCCGGTTGAAGCTGATAAAGACGCGATAAAGGCATTAGTTGATGTGAACCGGCGAATAACAACACGTGAGATCGGATTGAGGTTAAATTTATCAAATTCAACAGTTTATGACCACTTGAAAGGCCTGGGATTATCCTCGAAGCTCGATGTATGGGTTCCCCATGTTCTCACAGAGAGAAATCTGTGTCGCCGCATTGACGTCTGCGATTCGCTTCTCAAACGTCACGAAAATGATCCGTTTTTGAAGCGCATCATCACTGGGGACGAAAAATGGGTTGTATACAACAACGTCAAACGCAAGAGGTCATGGAGCAAAAAAGATGAACCGGCTCAAACCATTTCCAAAGCCGATATTCACCAAAAAAAGGTGATGCTGTCTGTTTGGTGGGATTTTAAAGGAATCGTTTTTTTTTAGCTTTTACCGGATAACACAACGATTAATTCGGAAGTCTACTGTCATCAGCTGGACAAACTGAATGATGCACTTCAACAGAAAAGGTCAGAACTAATCAACAGGAAAGGTGTAGTGTTTCACCAAGACAACGCGAGACCTCACACAAGTTTGGTCACTCGCCAAAAGCTTTTACAGCTTGAATGGGATACAATGCTACACCCACCATATTCTCCAGACCTGGCACCATCGGATTATTATTTGTTCCGGTCACTCCAAAATTTTTTAGACGGTAAAACCTTCACCTCAAATGAGGAGGTCAAAAACCTCCTCGATCAGTTTTTTGCCAGCAAAGACCAAAAATTTTATGAGCGTGGAATTATGCTACTACCAGAAAGATGGCAAAAGGTGTTGGACCAGAACGGTCAATATATAATTTAATAAAGTATTTTTTTATTATACGAAAACTGTCTTTCTCCGAACAACCCTATACCTAATAATAAAACGTTCGTGGAATTCAGGAACACCCGTCTTTCTTAAAATTAATAATTATTGTGACGTTGAAGTAAAATAATAAAGTAAAAAGAAACAATTTATTAATTATTATTATTTCACGTTTTACATAGACATTGTTGAAGTGATGAACACTTTACATAATAAATAATAAGTTAATACAATAAATAATTAGCTGTTGCTACATTAATTAATTAACAAACACAGAAATTAAATTAATAAAAAATGTTTTCTTCGTTATTGAACGCCTTGTATTTGTCCTCCCGAAGTTCCCGTTCTTGTTCCAGATATTTCAAAATGTCTCTCAGTTGTGGGTAAAGCAGTAAGTAATTGAGGGTGTTTTTCTTTTTGAGACCATAGGATTCGTTGCTACAAAAAAAAAAAATGGAACGTGATGTTTTGTAGTAAAATTGTAATGTCATGGGACATATAAAACGACAAAAAAAAATCCTGTTTATATAAAGCGAATATTAAAGCGTTATAATATTAGGTACAAGATAATACGTAAACATCAATAAATTTTTCTGAACCATTTCAAGTTAATGCAGGGGTACCTCAAGGGTCTCACTTGGGACCACTACTTTTTTGCTCTTCATTAATGATATAAATCAAGGTTTGAAACATTCATTCATTCTTTCATTATTTTCTATAATAAAATCCCCTCTTGGTCAATCTAATCTACAGAAGGATCTAGATGTAATTATTAACTGGACAATAGCGAATAAGCTATTTTTGAATACTGAAAAATGTTCGGTAAATTTGAAACTAACTATCTTGCAAACAATATTTCCTTGGGAAGAGTTATAAAACAAAAAGATTTAGGTATAGTATTTCAAGAGAATTTTGAATTCGATATTCAATTGCAAAATACGGTTAACAAGGCTTTTAAAATCCTAGGTTTTTTAATTAGATCAGCCATTAAATTTAAGTTTGATACTATTGTTTATATGTACAAGACCTTGGTAAGACCTATAATGTTTTATAATTCTCAAATCTGGTCTCCACATTATTTAACCATGATAATGAAATTTGAAGTTTTTTAGATTCTTATCTTACAAAATTAGCAAACCCATGTCTTTCTTTGATCATGATTACGTTAATATTGCTAAGATTGCTGGTTTATCTTCTGTAAAGTCACTTCATGATTATTATGATTTGTTATTTATGAAGAGAATTTTCAATATACTTAGTGACACAGATAGAGTCACTAATCCGCTGTTAAATATTTTTAAAACCAAAGATGGTGTTTATAAATTAAGATCAGTACGTACCTTTAGGGAAATTAATTCAAGTAAAGATTATATTTTTCATTCTCCTTCTTTTAGACTAAGAAGAGTTTGGAATAAATTACCTGAGGCTATTAAATCTTGT